CAAAGTTATAATACCCTTGTGCACAAGTGCGCTCGGGTATAATAAATACAAGCGGCAACTCTATTGTTAAACTATTATAAAACTTTTTTAATTTTTTTTAATTTTTAATTCATATTTTTAAAAATGCGTGTCGACTATATGTGGATTCACATTTTTCTACGCTTAAGATCAGACATGTGGCAACTCTGGTTTCACTAAATGATAAGTAGTCGCTTTTCGAAAAATATTCAAAGAAAGTATAAATCATTAAAAACATATTTAATGTCGATTTCTAATCTACAAGTGTAATCACTTACTATTTAATATTCATAATGAAAATAAACATTTATTATGCAATTCTTCTTACAAAAATAAAACAATAATCGAATGCAAACACCTCCGCACAAAGCACGCCCATTGTTCATGCCCTCAGCATAGCCGCATGCAGTGGAATCTCATCAGAACGCATCCTCCCGCCGCAATCGTCGCCCTCCCAGCGGACGCGCGAATGCGGCATAGCATAGCGCAGCTTCTCCCAAAACCACGGCTCGCCCCACTTCAAGTACGTATTCATTTTCAGATACGCACGCAGCTCTTGATCCAGCAACTCCGCGTTCTCCAAGTCGCCATAGATCACCANCGCGGCGCTGCAGTCACACTTCCATGGATTATGCGAGAGATACAAGTCTTTCAGCGACGTGCTGTCGTTTAGCGTGCGGATTAGCTGCGCGGGCAAGCGCGCTATGCTATTGTATCGTACATCAAGCAAACGCAGACGGCTGGTGGTGTGGTTGGGCGCGCTCAGCTGTGTGCATAAGGTATGTAGCGAGTTGTTCTGCAGTTGAAGCGTGTTGAGGCTGCGCAGACCCGCGAGCACATCACACGCCTCAGCGCTTGTCCAATTTAGCTGATTGTTATAGAGCATAAGTATCTCCAGTCGCTGCGCTTGCGCCAGACTGCCGGGGGCGATTGCGCGCAAGCCATTGTTATCCAAATTAAGTTCTACCAGCGCATGTAGTGTAGGAAGTGTATGCGCGCTGAGCTGCAGCAAACGATTGTGTGACAAAGCCAAGCTCACTAGCTTTGTGGACGGGTGAAATAAGCCAGGTGGCAGCGATTCGAGCTCATTGCGACTCAGGTCCAACACCTGTAGGCGTTTTTGGGCCACGAAAAGCGCAGTAGGAAGCTCACGCACTTGGTTTGAGGTTAGGCGCAGCCGCTTTAGTGCTGGCAGTGGCTCAAAAATCCGCGCTGGCAGCTCGGAAATACTGCAGCTATGTAGCGTAAGAATCTCGAGAAGGCCAAGCCCC